GTTGATATTTCTTCCGGCAATCTTAAATCCGGCTTGGGTTTCTTCCAGTCTAGCCTTCCGCATGATGTATTCTGCATATAAGTTAAATAAGCTGGGGGACAGTATACAGCCTTGCCGTACTCCTTTCCCAATTTTGAACCACTCAGTTGTTCCATGACCAGTTCTAACTGTTGCTTTCTCTTCCTTTGTTGATGGGAGATTAAGGTAGCCCCAAGATTGTGTTACCATAATCTCCCATCAACAAAGGAAGAGAACATTTATGCTTTCAAACAAAGAAAAGAGGGCACCATGGCACCACATCCATCCTCTGCTATTCCCCCCCCCCAAAAAAAGTAAACTATTTTTTAAACTAACTCCAGACTTAGAGCATTTTTTCATACCATTCTGCAATACCTTCATGTGGAACCAGAGTTGGACAAATTCAAATGAAACTTAAAAACCTACTTGTTCAACCTGGAACCATAGGGGTTGACCATGGAAATAGGCAATTATTGGGATAGAATTACTGTACAGTACTTTAATTATTATATTGTTATTATAGCTATTTTGATTGTTTATTGCCTTATTGAATTATAATTGCTTACTGTATGTTTTTTATCATTGTAATTATGTTATGGTTGTATTTTAACTGTTTTTGACAATTGGAAAGCGCTCTGGTATAGAGCGCAATATAAATATTATTATTATATTATTTTTTGCAGATGATCTATTAATGCTTGATTGCTTGGATATACAGTGGTACCTCAACTTACGAACGTCCCTACTTACGAATATTTCAACTTACGAATAGCTTCGGTCGCAACTTTTTGCTTCAACTTGTGAACGGAGCTTCCACTTAGGAACAGAAACAGGCAGGGGAAAAAGGCGGGCAATTCAACTTTATAACTGTAGGTGGCACCAAGGCTGCTTCTTTGTGCTGTAGCACTTTCGGCAGTTATAGGGTGTGATGCAGTTGGAGGCTTGGGAGAGCCTCCTGCTTTGGAGTGAGCCTGTGTGTGTGTGTGTGCAGGGAGGTAAGCGGCTGTTTTCTCCTTTTGAAAAACTGTTCTGAGTGGGTTTTGGTGGCTCTGCTTCGGAGTGTGTGTGTGTGTGTATTTTTGGACTGGGCTTGCTGTCCTCTTTTTATGTTTTTTTTGTTATTTTTTTCCCTCTGGGCAGCAGGGGAGGAAGCTGTGGCTGCTGACCGGAGTGAGGGAAGCTCCAGAGGAGCAGGAGGAGGCAGGCAGGCAAGCAGGCAAGCGCTTCCCGGCCTGGTCTTTGGCCCTGGCCCTGTTCACTTCAGCAAGCCTTTGAGGCTCTCTTTCTCTCCTGGGTTTTGTTTTGTTGTTTGCAGCCCCAGCGCGTACCTATGTGGCTTGCAGGTTTTTTGGGAGTATTTTTTTTCTTCAGCCGGAACGGATTAATCGGTTTTCAATGCATTCCTATGGGAAATGGTGCTTCGACTTACGAAGCACCATTTCCAATATGGATTAAGTTCGTAAGTCGAGGTACCGCTGTATTTAGTGTGTTTCATTTTATCTTTCTGTTGTTAATATCAACATTTCCCACTTTGGTACCTACAGAACAGGGACTGGCAACTGTCGCTCTCAGTATATATTTGGCCTACAATCAGAGTTGCATTTAGCAGTCTTGATGCCCAAGGCAAATAGCATTATGTCACATCCACTAAACCCTGAGGCCTGCCCTCTTCTTTCTTTGGGAGGACATTAGGGTCTATAGCACAGCGCTGTTGGTATTGCAGTCTACTTCATGGGATGTAGGCATGGGATGTAGGGTGTGCATGCTGCAGTTGCATCAATCCTATTAGACAATAGCAAACCTGACTCAACAGAAGGCATTCCATCCAGATCAGGTAAGGCACAAACTGGCAAAGTACGGTTCTGCAGAGGCAGGTCAACTGCATTAGATCGCTCTTGATTAGACTTCTTCCATTCACATGGAAATTGTGGCTTTTGTACTTGCAAGCTATTCAACCACGTGTTTGCCTTAGATCACTCCATTTTGGTCCATTTGGTTACAAGGTGTCCCTCTCCTTGTTGCTCCATGCTGATCGCCTTCTCTTTTGTAATAGCTGTCAGCCAGTTGGGAAACAGCCTGCTTCCATTTCATTGCTGAAGAACCCTAAGTGACCGTTTGGCTTTCTTCATTTCCAAAACACCTTTTTTCTTTTTTTTAAAAAAATTATTTCCTACTATACTATTGCTCTTCAAGTGATAGATATTGAGCAAAGTCAACTTTGCAAAAGTGGCAGGCAATAAATGTGCATCAAGGCAAAGCTGTAAAACCAGGATATCATCTTCAGCCTTAAACTTTATAGGGCTTAAAATATATGGTGCACAAAAGTGGGAAAATATTTTTTAAATAAAAACAAATACAATTAAATCTAAAATGCCCCCTTTGACTTTGAAATAGGATGGACGATGCCAACCGCAGTCATGGACAGACCATACCCATCTCTACTCATTACCACTGACATGTAGGAGAAACACACACACACACTAACCCCACACTGGAGCAATCTAGTGACCATGCAGGAAGAAAACCATGTTTACCAATCCTAACTGTTCCCAATCAACAGTAAACTCCAATCCTAGACCAATCTGGGGCAGAGTGGTCCCCATTAGGGGACAGGTTTGAATGTTCTAAGAAGAACAATTTGTAGTCAACATTTTTAGAGAGATGCCATTTGTTCCATTATGGGGCTACAAATCAGGATAAACTCCTGTGTAGCCAACCTCTATGGCTGATGTAGTCCAACAATACTGAAGGCCACATTTGGCAGGCCGTACTTTGATCAAAACTTGTGAATGTGCAACTTATGATGGCATATTTATGCTATCATATCAATGAATCCTGACTAATCTGTTACATCCTTTTGTTACAGCCTATTTCATCTTATGATCAGACAATTTTTCGTTCTGTGGTTAGGCTTGTCTAAGTCCCACCCATAAACAACTGAATAGATGCTATCTCAAGATATAAATATAACTTAAATCTTGAAGGTATTTGGAGTGCATATAAACAATTGCTACACACTAAGATAGCTCTTTTAACAGCATTGACTTATATTTTGTTTTAGGAATACAAAAAATATGCCACTACAAGAATATATATAATTTTCACTAATTAGAAATTCAACCAATCACCACTGGTAGATGTCTTCAGGGCAGAGTCACTCCACTGTTCCATTACGCTTTCAGTCTCTCCCTCAAATATTTTCACTCAAGTTTTAAGAATGTTATGAACTAGACCATGAGTTTGCTTTCGTCCCCCAATTATATTCTCATTCTCTTTTTTTTTGGTTATGTCTTTTCTACTGAAAACGTGCAGTCATGAACAATCTTCTTTATTATAGATCTTGCACAAGCCATTTTGGGAACTTTTCCCACTGAAGCATGAAGTAAAATTGTATAAAATAAAGTACACAAAATGTGGAAAATATACAACCATCATTAACAATAAAATGCTGAATCAGCAAATGTTAAAGATTAGTAAATTAGGAAAAGTTTTTTTAGTAGGTCTTTTCTCGTGATTTTTACAAGAAGCTGCAGACCACACAAGTGTCGTGGCCTTAAAATGTTTGTATCGGACCTCCAGATACAAAGATTTCACTGTTAATAAAATGTAGAAAACAAAGTATCTGATTAAACAACAAGAATAGGCCTGGCACTGAAGGAAAGATAAACTATATTTTTTTCCTGTTACTATCAGGAAGTCTGTTACTATCAGGGCCTCCAGGTGTTCTAGGGAATCTTGGAGGGCTGTGGGCTAGGAAGAAAGCATGGGAAAGGTGTATTTTCTCCAAAAATCTATTTCACACCACATAAGGTAGAATATGTTGTTGCATCTTTATTATTAAACTAAATGTTTACAACAAGAAGATATAGCTTGTCCCCATAAAGGTGGAGGAAGTTTGCAGAAGGAGATACATAATGACAAAAGATACTAAACAAGCAAGATCTGTGAGGTGCAGGAAAAGGGAAAAAAATTGTAACACTGTGAAGAGGAAGCAATGAAAACTATAGGACAGACCCTGGAAGAATGGGAAGTTCTGTGAGTGAAAAAAAGAAGCAGCAGTAGCAGGGATGAGAGAGAAGTATGAGAGTATTGGGCCAAAGTTGTGAAGGAAAATGTTAGCAACGTTAGGCTTTTGCATGGTACTGTTTGGTTCAGATACTTTGTATATTACCTGTAATAAAAATACAGTTTATCTACATTTGTTGGAAGTTAAAATGAAATCATACCTTGGCATTTTGCAGAGGGGGTTGGTAACTAGATGGTCGATAATACATCCTCTGAGCTGGATCAGTGTGGATGTCTCCAAGAAACAGCTCTTCTACCAAGTGATCTAAATTATGGTGAAGGTATTGTTTCTCTACACGGATAAGCTGTAGTTCATGCATAGCAAAATTCAGTGCTCTGGTACATTCATAGCCATTCTCTTCTCTCCATAAATCATAGCTCACATTCTGCTCCCAGGGTTTATCTTCCGGTACAAATCCAGGGCATGTATGGTTCACCAGCTGACTTAATCTTTCAGCCACTGCCTCACTATGACAGATGATCTGTATGTTATGTAACTGATAATCTGCTTCAGTCCCTCCTCGAATAATCCAGGATGCTTGGCGAAGGCGTACTTTACCACGGATAACTAAGGTATAGGTCGGGTTTGTGCAGCGGTTACCTCCATAGTAAAACTGGTACGCTTTGAATGTATTATTATGGTAAAATCTGTAGGATCTTGTGATGAATTCTGGGCCTGACCTAACTTCACATCTGTAACCAAAGGAAATAAAATTTAAGGGCTCTTTTATTTATCTTTTAAATTTTGTTTTTAAAAAATACTTTTCTGTTTTATTTATTTAACAATTTTTTTAAATAAATGAGAGAAAGATGGTGGACAAATAAAATAGACATACTATATACCAGTGGTCCCCAACCTTGGGCCTCCAGGTGTTCTTGGACTTCAACTCCCAGAAATTTTGGCCAGCAGTGGTGGTGATGAAGGCTTCTGGGAGCTGTAGTCCAAGAACATCAGGAGGCCCAAGGTTGGAGACCACTGCTGTATACTATATATGTGATATAAAATATTGCTGACTGCCTTTCTTTTTCACATGTAGTGCTTAGAGATGTAGCCCTTTTTATTCCTAGTACTTCCAAGGCTGATATGGCTATTTCTAAACATTATACAATTATCTGTTTCTCTTTTCCCTATGGACATACCTGACAATCACTCAGATTTTTTCAAAGGCAGCGTAAATTTGTTCAAGAAACAGTCTGAGACTATCTTTACAATATTGACTCAATTTTTCTTAAAGCTGGGTGACTTGAGTTTTATTGTCTTTAGAGAAAGAATATCTTCTCTAGGCTCATTTAAAAATATTCTCATGTTTTCAACAGATTTCAGATGAACCATTCCCCATTTCACCATGGTGTGATGGCATTGTTCATAAAGTTAAACCTTCAGAGATATTGCTACTTGCACATTAACCAAAGGAGGGAATGGACCTGCTTGATCTACTGCAACTAGAGTAATAAACATTCTCCAGGTTTAGGAAATCATAAAATTAAGCTGACAATTACAGGAATAGTTGTATAATATAAATAGTTCATAAACTGAACCCTTACTTGTTGGCTTACTTTCTAGGAATGGAAAATACCATCCCTAAAGGTGTAGGCTTCCATAATCTCTCCCTGAACTTGAAATGTGTCGAAATATCCAAGTGAAGGTTACTGCTGATTCAAGTTCTATATTCTCATTAACCTCAGTGATGTTTTTGTCTGAATAAGAACTGCAGGACTGGGCTTGAAGGGAACCTTATATCCCCAAAGAGCCTTCCTAAGAAAATAATTGAGTACACAGCTGTAAACTGCAAACTGAGACTACAAAATAAATACTGCCTTCTCACTGAAAGTTTGTGATCTTAGATAAGCACTTATGCATGCTTGGACTCATCAACTAAATTATCATAATTTCACTTTGTTAATTAACCTGGTTTTATATATATGCCACATGGCATAGCATAAAGCCAAGGATTTATTCACTAGCTCCTATACTGTAACATGCAACAACAAATGGATCAGCAAATTGCTTTTAACTACACTGTCGTTTCTAAGGGAGACTAGAACTACCTAGAATGTCTTACTGTTTAAAACACAGACTCTCATAACAAAATTGTGCAAGGTTTTTTTTTGTGGCCAAGGCTGTGACATAGCCAGTTCATTCTCAATAGCAATCTCTGTGGAGTAACATAAATTGCTTTTAAAGCATTCCTCACTTTAAAAAACAGCTTCAGGCAATAGAGAGATGCAGTGTTGTTGGAAGATAAATAAAATAAAAGCTTTTTGGGGCATGAGTTTGTGGATACAGGCTAGAGGAAAAGTGTCTATTCAACAAAGCATATGTGCAGCATCTCTTTCGTGTGTGTATGCTAGACAATGTAATGCCTCTAACATTATTTTTCCAATCTACTAAAGCATTTTAGCTCAGTGGGTCATGTTTTTCTATAATATGACCAAGTTGTTAATCAGTATCCTTACCCAGTGGAAACCCAATGTCCTTCAATAGTAGGAGGCATTTGTAAAGTGATTCGGGCTCCATTGTGAAGATGCTTCAACATATGATGGCACTGTGACTCCTTGAAGGTCCGCCATGCACTCTTCTCTAAAGATCGAGGATGAGACCTACTGTCTGGATGAAGAAGTGCAGAACCTTCTCCCAGCCCTGAGAAATCAAAGAGAAGATATGAATGTTCTGGTGAGTTTGAGCAATTAAAAATGAACAAGGTTTTTGGGACAACTAAAACATATACCTGGGGAAGTCTGAAGTAAAGCTTATCAATAACTATATTCTATTATCATTTCAAAAGTACTGAGCTTTTTACTTCTTCAAGGTTACTTAGATGTGGGGTTTTATTATTAAGCACGATCCCCAGTGGCGAGTTATATTTACAGAACATCCAGATCCCACAACTTCATATTGCATATACTAAGCTTTGGTTTCAGCCTCTTTTCTTACTATTTAGTATAGGCGAAGATATTTTCATGATCAGAACCATTGCTCTGAGGGCTCATACTCTTGCTAAAAATTAAGGTCACCACAAACTTTTATCTACGATGCCAAAAAAATTATTTGCTTAAGAAATGAGTGGGGCATTTATAATTCATTTAGTGTCATCTAGGACACTTGCAACACAGTTCTAAGGGTGGCTACTAAGAAGTAAGTTCCACTGAACTGAATAGGCCTTCCTCCCTGACAAGTATACACAAAACTACAGTCTTCATGATTTTAGAACAATATCCCAGGAAAGCTGATTACTGGCATTAAAAGGTATATATATTTTACACACTACTTTTGTGTAGAATTCAAAGATCTTTTTAAAAAAATGAAAAATGCCCGGAATTAAACAGTAGTTCGACCTTCCTCTGTACTTGCACCTGTCCATTCTACAGCTATACTAAAACATAATGCCTAGAATGCAGGGATCCTTTTTTCTCTTACACTCAATAGTTCAACTGGACCAATAGTGCAGTTCAGTAGATACAGATCTAGATTGAAATCTGAGTTCAAATACCAGCTCAGCCATCAATTCAAGCCCTGTTCAACTGTTCACATACCACAAGGATAGATTTAATTTAAATCAATTTGATTTTGTTGATTTAAATTTTAAAAATCAAGTTTTAATTTAAATCGTGATTCAGATCAATTCAATTTTTTAAAAATCATTGATTTTTATCCATCCTGCTCACACACACTCTAGTCCCAGCCGTTCTGTCATCACTCCTGTCGACTTGAATGTGCAGAGTGTGCTGAGTTTTACCATTCTACCCATGATGGAGTCTCACCATGTGAAGTGGAGCCCTGGAAAAGGCACTCCTGTTTAGACTTGGCATTCTCTGTGTGTTCAGAGCAATAAAACTGGAGATAGAGAGTGGAGCCTATAGCATACCACATGATCAGTATTCCCTTATAGGAATGACTGAAGTGCAAGATCTTAGGCAAGTTGGTATATCCAACAGGTGCACTTTGCTACCAAGTATGAAAACAGTAATACATGGAGTATATTTTACACTTCTATGACTTGCTGCACCTCCTTGTGAGATCATGGCCAATAGGGAAGCCCTGCCTGTCAATCCAGTGTGTGAGAGTGGGTCAGATTTCTTTTTGTTTCAGTTGCTAAAATGACAGTCCAGTTGTTTTGTCCCCCATTATTTAATAGCCTTTGAGAATTTAGGTCTAGTTCTCTCTAGATGTTCTCCATTTGCCTATAGCATTTCCATTTCTTGCTAGCATATGAGTGCATGGGATATTAATATAAACAAGGGGGAAATGCATTATAATTCTCTTTGTATGTTCATTGCTATTCAAGTGCTATCATCATTCAGTTCATTACTGCGTGGGCAATGAAAACTTCAGCTACTCATCACACCATCATTTGTTTTCTTATATTCTTTCTTGCTTAAGATATCGATGACTAGTCTTATCTCTTCTTCCTCCCACAGTGATACTTCTGACACAATGGCCAAAATCTTATTGGTGTTCACATAAGGTCTGCATAACCTGTCACTGCTAACTGCAGCTAATTCATGAGGTATTGAGGCAGGTCTCAGTTACAAGGATAATAACGGACCTGGCTGCCCAACCAAGATGTTCCCTGGCACCTCAATCAGCAATTAGCAATGACAGGTTATACAAACCATACACATCAGTAGGATTCCAACCAGTGAAATGGTGCTGAAGGCATGTTAACAAAGTCTTGCACCTTCATGAAACATAAAGTGCAGAACTTCCATTTAAAATGTTTCAAATTAGTGGGAATCCAACATGTTTAAATTATATATATACAAGAATCCATTTTCAGACGTAACAGCTGAAATCCTGTTGCTTAGTGTAGTAAGTTGCAAGTGGAGTAGGCCCATTGAATCATTGGGGATTTGGTGAGTTAACTCTTCTGTAAGTCTGAGCCTACTCCAGTTGCAACTTACCACACTAAACAACAGAATTTCAGCCAATGTTTGTGTGTAGATCAAATTTTACACTAAAACCTGATTGTGTACTTTTGTTAGAACCTGCTATTTCTTTTTGAATTGCCAACTCCTTCTCCCCTCCACAGGGTCCTGTGCAGTCTAAAAGTCTACAGTACTTAGGAGGGCTGGGAAAACTTATGGAGCAAGGTTTTTTGACACTACACATGGCTACAGCAGGATGGAGAGGAGAAGGAATTCCCAATTTTTTTTGGCCTTGGATAGAGCACTGTACCTTGGTCATATATACACTGGGCAAAAGCCTCCTGTGTAAATATACACTGGCAGAGACAAATTACATCATTGTCAGGACCAATGGATATGAATCTTGGCAACTAAAGTGCGCGCACATACACACCACCATCCAATGGCTTCCCTGTGGCAAAATGGAGCCTTAGGGAGCCTCAGAATCTGAAACAGAAGGATGGAAACTTTTGGATTAATTTAAGTTAAATTTTACTGGTGCCCGATGATGACATCATTGGCTTCTGCAGTGTAAATTTATGCCAATAGGACTTTGGTTGCTGAGCTGCAACACACATCCTAGTGAGTAACTGTAATGAACACACTACCAGATAGGCGGGATATAAATTATAAATAAGCTTATTTCTGACTAAAAATGCATAGGACGCCATTTACCATCCAAGTAAGTTAGGACCTGCTCCATTGCTATCCCTGATTCATCAAACTGAGCTCACATGAAAACATGTGCATGAAAGTTTATTTTCTGCAATATACTTTTTAAGTGGAAATATGTCAGAAGTTTTAAAAGGTTTCCAACAGATAAGACGCAATGTACTTAAAGGATATGACTTTACTTATCTACTCAGTTGACAAAAAAAATTAAATAACTATACATTGGTCTCACTTTTGATGTGGGAAACTGCTAGATAACCTTTCCACTAGCTATCCTAATTGCATTGTGAAAGTTATATAATTACAACAGAGAATTTTATGTCTCACTGCCAAGCAGATGTTTCTGTTTTTAGCCCTACTTTAGTCACTGAACATCAAAAGGAGTAAGGTCTTGCAGAACTGCTTGCTGAACTGCTTGCTTTAGGCATGCAAGAATGGGACACAGCAGTATAGTAAAAGGTAGTAAGCTCCTATATATTATAGGAACTTATATATTAGTTCCTATATACTGCATTATAGGATTAGTGTCAATTGATCATGCAGATAACTCTAATGCATGCCTCTGGAACTAAAAAAAAAAAGCAGTGTGACAAGAAAAGGTAGTTACAATGGAGGCACAGTTTGCCAGCTTTCTAGACACACAGGTCTCCAAAACATCCATCAGGAGATTTCAGCCTAAATCCAAAGGCTAGCGTCAACTGGAGTAGGCCCATTGAGTCATTTGCTGTATGGTAAATCAACACAATAATCCCACTGACTCAATGGGTCTAGTCTAGTTGCAGTTAGCACATCTAGGCCATTTGCCATTTTGCAGTCTTCAAGTGCCGCTTCTTTTCTTTCTCTCACTGATATCAGCAGAAACCATTCCCTGAGAAAAAGCTGGCTCACTTCCCAGTATCAGGTCCCTATTTCTGGTTTCTGATCATGAATCAGACCAGTCATGCACTCTGCTTGCAATTCATTTCTGGCAATAACGAAATGCAAACACACATCCACATGAATACCTAATATATGCAACAATCCCTTTCCATTTTCTGAAGTATGAATAAGGATGTACATATGCTCATACTGTGAAAAAGAAATTGCATGCCAATACACATTATTTGGAGAATTGCCAAGATTTTTTTAAATTTTTTTTTGTCTTGTTACTCACATGTAGTAGCTTGTGCCTGACTTTCAACTTGGGGTATATCTTGATGAGTATTACTCAGTTCTATCACTTAGCACATGGATCTAAAACATTCATACATACGTTTAAATATTTAAATCAGTATAGGCTACTAAAGTCAGCAGCAAACTGTGACAATTATGAGAAAATATAACTAGATCCGTCTGTCTCCTTATTTAAAGAAATAAATAAATCTTTTCATTTGCTTTTCCAAAGAAGATTTTGGAACCAGCAAAAATGGATATTTTGACAGATACACTAAATGATAAACTGGATAATAATAAATGGGAACCTCTTTATACCTGGATGAAATCTACATCGATTTAAGTAGAACAGATTAGATTAATATTATGTCTGAGAGTATAAGACAAGATTAAATGAATGGAATATATTGTAATAAATCACTCTGGTTGCAATGGATAGAAAAGCAGAAAAAACACAATAAAATATTTATAAACAAATAAAATAAAAATGTCAACAAAAACTGTTATTAACTTGCTTTAATAAATATATGTAAGAAATTAAGAATCATATCTAAGTCCTGATTTTTATATTGGCTACATTTTTGCATTCTTCTACTTATTAAGCTTCTTAGAAATGAATGCACTTATCATCACATAAAACAATACACGGGAACAATATGCACAACTCACACAAGGACATCACGACCAGCAATATGAGAAAGGCATAGCAATGCCTGTAAACTGAAACACCGCATGTCAGGTAACTGAAGAACTCAGTACAACTGCAATGACTGGTAGCTTCAGGAATAAAATACAAAATCAACAAATATCCACTTACTACATACAAAATATGCTCATATGGAAGGTCTGCAAGTCTATTTTCAATTAGCCAAACTGATTGAATCTACTTTATTGTTCCTCAGAATTTCTGGA